GCACTGAGTGTTTCCAGTGCCTCTCATTGTTGCTTTGGGTAACAAATGATAAAGCAGTTTCTGAATATGATTTGGCTTCCCACATAGATTGATGTAAGGAAGACAATCCACTCACTTTGCCAGCTCATGAATTCACGTCCACAGGACAATGATATTTCTCTCTGTAAGTTATTAAATGAACTCTGGAACATCTTAGCTACTACCAGTCCAACTCTCAGCACCTACTTCCCTGTCTCCAGAGAAGGGTCCCCAACACACCACAGTGGCATAAGGATTATCTGGAGCTGAAGACATGTGAGAATCAGCAGTTACAGGAAGAGACTTTTTTGCAACTCCCCTTATCTGCCTAAAAGCAGAGCCTCTTGAAAGAATTCAATGGTCATAAATCCCCTCCCCAGGAGGTTTACAACCAGAAAGGACTGACTCCTATCACCAGGGTCGAGAAGTAAGCACCAGAATAAGAAATCTCCCAATGGACAGTGTCACAAAACTATCATATTATTTCCCATCCATTCTCCTAAGGCCCCATTTATTTTTCATAAAAGTCACGTGTTTTCCCGTGAGTGCCTTTTCTTCCCCCTCTCCTTCCCCTGTTAAAATTGTACACAAGCCCCCAATTCCAATCCCCCATTTGAGTCACATATTTCTGGATGCTCTTTCACACATCTGTGAATGAAAAGGTCTCATCACCTGTTAATCTGTCAGTTTCAGTTCAATTCACAGGCCCCCAATCACTGACCATAAGTGGGTCGAGGAAAGATTTTTCTTCTCTGACACCACTCACAAGATGGACAGATGGACTCACAAATGATGGAAGCAGTTGGTCTAAGGATCATACTTTGATCAGAAGGCAAGGACCATGTCTTACTTATTAGGAGATTCCTTCCAATACTTAAAAAATTTGTTGTGATTGTAGGTTTCAATAAATACCCATTCAATAAATTACAATTACAAAGCTGCCTTGCCAACATGGCAGTCCCTTGACCTGTGGATGCAGGACATGGGTTAACTTGAGGTGGATCTAGTTTGTGACTACAAAGTAACAGGTTTACTCCTCTTCTATGATACGGAAATTCATTTTATTATTTTATAGTTATGTCACATATCAATTTTTTCTTTCTCCCTTACTAAACCATAATCTCCCTGGTTCTAAGATATGTGCCCATACTCTTCCAAATATGCCAAGCGACTTTTAAATTGTAAAAGGACGGACCTAGTTTAGACTCGTGCAAAGGGAACTGAAAGCACTTTTTTTTCCTGCGCCTTATTCGTTACTCATTTACATATGCTGGAGGAGAGTCAGGATAAGGTCTGAAACATACTTTGAGCATGGAAGATTAGAGGTGAAGGATCTGAAAGGTTGTCCAGTTTAACCACCTATTTAATGTTTGCATCTGCTCGAGGACAACCTAACGAGTGGGTGTTCCACTCATGCTCAAGCACTCCCACGGACAGCATAATTGACTATAAGGCACCCTGTTGCACTCTCAGATGGCTCACATACTTAGATTTCTTCCTTAAACTGAGCCTGAATCTTTCTCCTACCATTCTCACCCATTGTTCTTGGTCCAATTGGTCCTTCTGAGTCTTATAGGATACATAAGCCTAATTCATCTCCCACTGGATTCCGCCATTATACACCCCAAGTCTAGCTTTTCTAGGTTGAAAGTTCTTGATTTCTTCAGTCATTCTTCACATCACTTGGGTTTCTAACCCTAAAACTCATATAAACAATTTTGGAAAAGTTGAATAAATAGGAGGGACTTGCCCTACCAAATATCAAGGCTCTTTATAAAGCTATAGTAATTAGAAATTTTAGGATTATATTCTCAAATTCTATTTAAAAAAAACCCTGTTGGCATTTTAATTATATCTGCATTAAATTTACAATTGATTTGGGAATCGATGGCAACTTTATAATATAGCATTTCCCATCCATGAATATTGCCATTTATCTAGGGTTTTTAAAATGTCCTCCACTAACACTGCATATTTTTTTCCAAAGAAAATTTTGTATATCATGTAGATTTATTACCGGGTATCTTTAAGTTTCTTTTTCCATTGTAAGTGGAATTGCAAAAAAATTATATTTTCCATTTATTGTCCCTGCTGTATAAACAGTGCTACTGATTTTTGTATATGAATTTTATACCCAGCAATCTTGTTGAAATCTCATATTGATGCTAACAGAGATAAATCTGATCACATCATGGTTTATTATTATTATTCTCTGAGGTATTTAATTTGCTAATTTTTGATATGGGATTTCCTTGCTTACGTTCTTAACTGAGATTGGTCTACATTGTCCTTTTTGTACTGTTGTTCTTCAGTTTTGTCCTGAAGATTCACGTGGTAGGCACTATTCATGGTCTTCACAGCAGTCACCATCCATTTCCTCCCACTTTCTCAGAAGCAGATCCTGCCTCTCTTGAAAATCTTTCTCTTTTTAGCAAGGAGGAAAATCTTACGTCTCATTGGCTGGAACCAAGTCACATGACCATCTCTAGCTGCAAAGGTGGCTGGAAAGTGAGTATCTGACATTTTCAACCACTAATTATTTAGACATTTTTACATTTCTAAATGATGAGAAAGTTCATTTTTTGTTGTTTTTATCCATTTCTTATTGTAATGCTTTGTAATCAGCCAACAGGATCTACATGATACTGATTTTCTGGTATTTGCTGAGACTGATTTCTAGCCTGGTTTGTAGTCAGTTTCTGTACATTTTCATGTGCGTTTGCAAAGCATGTTGGTTCTAGGGTCTATTAATGTCCACCAGATCAAGTTTGTAATTGAGTTGTTTACATCTTCTCTATGTCTGCTAAATTGTTTATCTACTTGATCTATCAGTTTATTAAACAGGTATGTTAAAACCTCTCGTGATAACTTTAGGCTACTTGTGATTTTGTCAGTGTTGCCATATATTTGTTGAGCTGGGTTCAGGGCCAGGATTTAACTCACATATCTTTATTGTGACCGTGACATATTTCAATGTCTTACCATCAAAATTTATATTTTTCTATTGACCATGCTTTTTGTAGGCTTCTCTTTGTTCTTCCTCTGCCTTCTACTGGATTGGTCAAGTTTTCTCTTGGAAGTTATGCATTGTTTTACCATTCCATTAGAGGTTATCTTTGTAATTTGAATATGCACACTTGCCTTAAACAATTTTAAATTAATCAACATCACTTTCTTCTTCCTAAACAATATTAGCAATTTAGAGTATGTTTTATTTACTATAATTACTAACCTCTCATCTTCTGCTATTACTATTATTTAAACTCTACAAATATACCCCCAATTACTCATTATTAGTATTTTTTAAACATTCTATACTCATTCCGGTTTGCCCAGATGCTTACTGATTTCTTTGTTTAGCATTACTTCTAGATCCCCCTCCTCCTTCTTGGGTTCAATTTCCTTTTACTTCAAGCATATCCTTTAGTAGTTCTCTCAACGTTGTTCTCTGAGCGGTAAGCTCTCTTAGTCCTTGATTGTCAAAAATGATTTTTATGCACAATTCTCAGTTCTAACTCCCCATTTGTGTGGGCCAAGGCCACATTTCCTGTTCCCTTACAGGCATGACACCCCCAGCCCCTAGATGTCAGGGTCTACACTCAGTTCTGACACCCTCCAGCTTCCTCAGCATTAGTTCATGTGCTGTCCACTCTGGTTTTAGTTTCTTCTTTATTTCTAGGACCTGAGGATTTCCATTTCTTTGTTTTGAACTCAGCTTTATATCGTTATATTTCATGCTGCGTTTGTCATACGAGGTGGAGGAAGGTCCACATTAATCTTTTTAGTTACTATTACTGGAAGTCCAGATATTCTATTTATAACAAATTTCCCTCTTACTAATGCTTATTATTCTCCTTTAAAATAAATAGCATATAATTTGATAGAGAAAACAGACATGACAGAGACAGCTGGACACTTCTTGTTCTGTTTCAGGAAAAGTTATAAAGCTTCCTAAAATTTTTCTTTAAGTTGATATATAGGAAATATTCCCCAGGCAATATCTTGGGAAAATGGAGTCATCTGCCAAGAAATGGAATTTTCTGTAGGTTTGTATCTGTTTTCTTGCGTCTCCCTTGCTTCTGTTTGCTCTGCAGAGACGATCCCTGCTCAATAGTTGATTTACACCCTCTGCACAAGAATGCCAGAGGAGCATATTGAGAAACCTGTCTCTATAGGGAAGCCATCCCCAGGCTAGACCAGGAGCTCAGCTACTCCTGCAGATCAACAGCTGGCTAGAGGCTGAACTGGTTCCAAATCCTGGGAATTCACAGCTACTAATAGATGAATAGGATCAATTTCATTTGCATTTCATCGTGACTCAGGAATTCCCTGGTACTCCATCCCTGGGCAGATTAAAATGCATTGGTTTAATCAGCCCATGGCCTTCACTGTCAGAATACTGGCCTGAGAGACTGCCATACACCCTAGTGACAGGACCCAAACTCTCACATCAAAACGGAATAGTCCACTTCAACCTGCCAGGGGGTGGAGGCCAGGTGAGAATGATGAAATCCAAATACAGCTCCTCTCAGAGATGTCTGACCATGGTCAAATCACTGAGAATGGATAAATATTCACACGTATCAGTGAATAAACTGGGGCTCAGTCCAGCTGTTATGTGGGAAATGCTTTCTGAATAATTCCATATGGGCTCTAGGAGAGGCCATAGGTGAGGGTAAAGAGTATTCATGGAAATGAGAGCAAAGACCAGACTGGTCATGCACTGGTTCACTGGAGTAGATAGTTACTTTCAATAAAATATACTCCAAATGGCATGTGACTACAAATGTTCTGACCCAGAAAAGAAGTGAATGGAAGAAAATGGGCTGCAGGGGGCTGTAGGGTAGGAAGAAGATCAGACAAGCTCCAATAATCAATTATGCCATTCATGATAAGAAAATAGCAAGAGATTAAAGAACATATTTTGCAAAGCAGAAATGGTTGTCCTCATTGCTGCCGGGTTATGATCCTCAATGCTTTACCTTTCCAAAAGAGGAGAGGACAAGCTCTGCCTTGGGAAGGATGGGTCGATCCACCTGAGAAATAGAAACCACCTTAGCATTGTATATCACTTTGGTCACAGGTGACTGTTCGTTTTGTCAACACCCTTTGCAGACACCTGAGAGGTCACTTGGCAATAAGTGGAAATCTTACCAAGCCAAGACCCCAATGGCACACTGCCACCGCCAGCACTTCTCTACAACCTACAGGCAAAGCCATCTCTTTCCTCCTGCTAACACTGAACCAAGGGACAAGACAAAGTCCTTTAATCCTTAAGATCAGATTTCATCTTAACATGTCACGGAAGGCATGGGAAAGGCAAGAGGAAAGCTTCTCCTAATGAAAATGCAGTCAAGGACTATTTTGCAGAAGGCAGGGGATTCTGTTTTTGGAAACGACTAGAATGGTGGATCTATAGGGTGGATGTAATGACTTTCCAAGTCGCCTTTTGACCCCACACACTGCCTGTATCTCAGTCCTGCGGTGGGGCCAGGTGGGAGGGGCTCCTGCATGGGAGAGGGCCCGCGACCCCGTGACTGACCTGTTGAGATACACTCGCTTCTCGGTGAACTGCCCGTTGCCGTGGTAAGGGTCCTCGAAGGGCTCGTTCTGGACGACCTCCACCCCTTCTCCTCGGTCACTCTGTTCGTGGCTGTGCTTGCTGATCATGTACAGTTGTCCAATTTTGTACTACAAAACACAGAGACGGAGAGGTCAGCCCCACTGCTTGCCTTCGAAAACACCCCACCTTTAACTACTGCGTGGTGAGCGACTAATAGCATCAGCCCTCTCTGTTGAGAAATGAAAGCAGACACACGGGCCTGGTGTTACTTTTCCTCGGGAGTGAAGAGAAGAACCAGTTGTGAGTAGCATGTAGAAACGGCGTGTTCCTGTGAGCAGATTGCATCACCTGGGGGAATGCTCGCTGGGGTGGCCGGCGGTCTTCAAGGTTTGGCAGTGAACCAAGACATGGGGGGCAGCCGGGAGGTGGGAGCACTGGAGTCCCCTTTCCACTCTGGCCCTACAGGGTTCAGTGGAGCTAAAGCTCTATGTTGCTTGACCAAAGACAGGCTAGGGTGTGTTATTTCTGTCCCTTCTGCCTAATTAGGGAATTCGCTGCATTGCTGGGCACAAGAGGATTAGATGTCATCTGTCTCTTCCATCACCTCTCTCAAAGTGCTCAACTCTCCTGGAGGCCTCTGTTCCCTAGAACGGTAGTGGTCAGAGGTGGCTGGACATTAGAATCACCTGGAAGCCTCTAAAAACTCCAGATGCCCAGGTCCCACCATGAGTGGAACCTGTGTTCTAAAGGCTGATCCACAATGAGGAAAATCTACAATATCTTTAGCTCCTTTTTATCCACTTCCACTAACAGTGTGGAGCCTTCCAGCCTGAGGTCCCAGAAGCCATATGTGCTTCCATGAAAATGATAATATGGAATAACATTTGATATGAACGCTTTCTGTCCTGTCATCATTTGTTCCACTTTCCTTCCTACTTCTCTGAAAACCCTGGGCCCAGCAGGCATTTCTTCACCCAGTGAATTTCCAAAGTGGCAAAACTAATTTGATGGAGAAAAGAGAGAGAGAGAGAGGAAAGAGAGGGGAAATAAAATGACTTTTGTTCAGACTCAGGAGGCAGGACAGTGAGACCCTTCTGTGGTCCATCCCGCAGATTCAGTGTGAAACAACATACACACACACACACACACACACACACACACACAGAGCGTCATCATTGTCGAGGCCCTTGGGATGGGGGAAAGAGGCCTGAGTTTGCAGCAACCTAATGACGGCTCTGGGCTGTTCCCAAAAGAGCCCAGGCCAGCAGGGATATAGGTCTCCTGTCTACACGCATAAGAGAGAGAAAGAGATTTTAAATTAAGGGGGCAGGTGAAATGTATAAATCAACAGTGCAGTGGGTTCCAAGGCTGAGAGGACACACACGTCTGAAGGTCCCTCTTTCATTCTGAGGCAGGTGCAGGGAGGGGAGTGTGAAGAGAATCTGAAAGGCTCTGGTTTGAGGCCAGCCCCAGGGACGAGGCCCAGTAACCATGACAATGGGAACAGCAGCCTGCTGGGTCTTCTCAAAGGGCAGTGCCACGCCTCTCCCCAGAAAGGTCTACATTTAAAAGGCTTTTAACATAAGTGTGTGTGCTTGGGGGAAGGGGGAGCACTGAGGATAAGAGTAGGAAGAGGAGAGAGGAAAATCAAAGATAAAATCTATTTTTAAAACGAATTCTGGAGTCAGAATCTTCCCGGCTTCCCCTTAGTAAGTCCTGCTCTTACTTTTGCTCCTAAAGACTAACACTTTTTCCAGGGGAAAGACAGCAAGAAAGAGTTTACAGGTTGGAGATCTGTGAGACACACCTGTGAAATCAATGCTCCACCTTATGCAGACGGGCACACAGGCCTGTAACAGGATGTCCTGTTGCCCAGAGGTGGAGATTTCAATGGCAATTGCTTTGTACTTGGTGTCCAAAAAAATAAGAGTTTACCTACAGTGGAATATTATTCAGCCATAAAGAGGAATGAAGTATTGAAACTGATACTGCTAAATGGGTGTTATGGGTTAAACTGCCTCCCAAAAACTCTTATGTTGACGTCCCAGTGCCTCAGAATGTGACCTTATTTGTGACAGAGTCTTTGCAGAGGTAATCAAGTTAAAATGAGGTCATAAGGGTGGGCACTAAGAAACAGGACTGGAGTCCTTATACAAAGGGGCAAGTTGGATGCAGAGACATGCATAGAAGGAAGACGAGGTGGAGCGATGCAGGGAGAAGATGGCCATCCACAAGCCAAGGATTGGCCTAGAATAGATCCTTCTGTCATAGCCTTCAGAGGGAACCAGCCCTGCCGTGACACGTAGACCTTGGACTTCTAGTGCCACAACAGTGAGACCATAAAGTTCTGATTTAAGCCACTCGGTCTGTGGTGCTTTGTTACGGCAGACCTGGCAAACAAATACCATGGGTACGGGATTTCCTTTTGGGGTGATGAAAATATTTTGGATCTTGATAGAGGTGCTGGTTGCACAATATTGTGAACGTACTAGATGCCACTGAGTTGACTTTAAAATGGTTAAGTTTATATTATGTGATTTCCACCACAATTTTTTTAAAAAAGTCTTGTCTCTGCTTCTGAAGCAGATACTCCTAAACCAAAATCCTGTCAAAGGCTTTAGTGGGGGGTTTGGTAGAAGAGCTCAGTCTACCACTGGACCATCTTGAGGAGCTCCAACCCACTCACATATGGAAACTGGATGGGATCAAGGATGACGTGTGACACAGAAAAGCCATTAGCCGGACTAGTCAGCTCAAGTGCTTCCTGCTCCGTGGAGAAGGGCATCGGCCGAGGCAGCCGGCACTGATTCACTGTGGCCCGAGGAGGGCCTGGCTGCCTGATCTCATTGATCATTCCAGCGGCTCCGGAATGAGCCAGCGCAGGGCAGACACCAGCCTTAGCTCACTAAGATAGCGTCAGTCTGGGGGCGACCAAGAGACGCCAGATGCAGTAACATAGGTGACATTGCTGGGGGTGGCGGGACACTCAAGCCCAGACACTGAGGTGGTCAAGGGCTCTGTAGCTGTCACTTATTTCCCTCCTCAGCAAGTGAGGCCTGCTCTGCTGCTTGTGGCTATCTGAGCTGGGCCGTAGAGAAGCAGAGGTTCTGTTCTTGTTTTTAAACCACAAATTGACTCACAGATACATACATCAAGCAGATTCTCAGTTGGGGAGAAGAGGGCAGGACAAATAGTCCGTGAAACATCTGACTCAAAGTCACTAGATACTCCTAAAAATGCTCAACCCCGGGCCGTCCCAGCCCTTTTACATTCAGACTCTGTGGGAGAAGGCAGTTGGGACCTCATTCAATCCAACAGAGAAATGCTGAGAAGCCCTGGAGGAGAGAGTGGCGAAGGCATTCATTGGTACCTGCACAATACTAAACAGTGCCGAGGCCAAAATGTTCTATCTTTAGGAAGCCCATTTCTTCTTTCCCCTTTAATACTAATTTCTTGCAAAGCTTCATCCCTAATTTAGTGAAAATACCCCATCCCTCATCACCAGCTCCAAACCAATTTGTATGTCAAATGAAGGCTGCCAGATCCAGACTCAGAGGGATTCTGAAGACTTTGAAGCCAGAGGATTGATAAGAGAATCGATGATGATGAGGGAGAGTGTAGCTGAATTGATTGCCTATTAGTGCAAGGCACCAATTAGGTGCTTTATATTCATTTCTAATACTCACAGTGATTCATCAAGGTCGGTATTTACAGGTGAGGAAGCTGAGTCTCAGAGAGGTTAGAAATGCTGTCCATGCCACGTGGCTTCTAGGTGGCAGAGCTGGGACTGGAACACCACGGATCTGTCCTCTTCTCCACCCAACTTCAGCCCTCGTTTCTCTAACAGGTGAGTTGCTTTCACAATTCTAGGCCTCACTATGATTGATAAAGGGGGGTCGTTCGGAGCCACTGCCTCTGAACTTTGCTATTTCAGAAGATGAAGAACAAAAGTCTGATATCATTTGAAAGATCAAAGTTGTTTAAACTGTGCTCACATATGGAATGGTGGAGCAATTATGCTCTAACTTTGTAAAATCTATTGTTATAATTCCAGCGTTTGGGTAATCATCATCACGGCAATCATGATTAGAGACAGCTCCTCGCTGCAGGGCTGAGCCTCTGTGTGAGCCATCATCAGAACAGCTACCCCAAATAATTATCTCTGCAGTCTAAAGACATCTCGGGGCTTCAGATCTTTCCCACTTGCACACAGCGCTGCACGTTTGACAGAGCTGCAAATTTTGAGAGAAGGCAGAGTTGCGTAATGTGCTTGGAGAAGCCAAGCGGTTTCATCGGTTTGTACTTTTGCAAACTCTATGGCGGGGCGTGATCAAGTTACTTAATACAGTTCAACCTCAAACTCTGGTTTTAGAAAAGGCAACCCCAAGCCAGAACTCCTGAGTACGATAAGAGATTATTAACTGAGCACCAACAACACCTTGAACACCATCCTTGCTGAAAGCTGAAAGAAGGACAGGACCCAAAATTTTAGGCTCAACAGAACTCCAAGCTATAACTGATTTTCACTTAACTGCCCTCTCCCTCCCTGGCTGCTGAGCTTCAGAGGTCTCTGCAAGGCCAGGCTCCCAGATTGCCCCACCCTAAAGAAACAAGGAGGCGCCATCTTCCTTCCAATTCGTCCCTGTGTCCTCCCTTCCTGTCCCCTTTCTCTTCCTCCATTTCCAGTCATCATGATGTGAAAGGTGGGAACGACTGCTTTGCAATAAACTTCACCAACTCCAGATGGAGTTATTCCGAAGTTATGACTCGGGACCTCAAGGCTCCAGGTTGGGAATCAGAATTTACATCTACTTTCACCTTTACCATCAAAATGGATGGATGCCACATAACCTAATAACCACACAGAAACACCTGTCCCTCTGACCTAACGTGACATCATGTATTTTTTCCATCTGTGAAATGTGAGTGATTCCTGCCTGTCTCACTCTGGCTGTGTCGATAGCGGAAAGAGCAGAGGGTGATATAATTTGGCATTCTCGGGATTTTCCCCCATTATTCACATCACTATTAATGCTTTTGTCAAAACTCTTCCAGCCTTCTCCACTCTCAATACCTGGACCTTAAAGCACAGTGAAACAATTGCCTCATGATACGCAAGGAGCCCACT